AGAAGGAAAACTCCACTTCAATAGCAGAATAACTAAAAATGAGTTAAAGCTCCCTCCTCAGTGGGCTGGGGTGAGACAGAGGCAGTGTCATATAGACATGTCCCTTAAAAATGGGTAGCAAGGCATTTTCATGCTGTGGTTAGCAGGATGTGAGGATAAACCTTGAGAGATATGCCAAATCTAACAGACAGATTTTAGAAATGGCAAAAGAACATGTGATCATAAGAAGGATAATGAATAGAGCAAGAGGATACAAGAAAGAGGTTTGTCTTGTTAAATTAGTGACAACAGGCTTTTGAGTAGATCATGCCAAAATGTAGACTGTACCAAGGTCAATGAATATGCCAATCCATTTGTTTATTGTAAAGAGTCCTCAAAATAAACAAGAAGCTTCTGTTCGAACTGAATTGAGAGAAACAGTAGTTTGGAATGAGAAGGGAAACAAAGATGTATATTGTCTCCATAGCTGTTCACTTCTTAGAATGTATTTACTGAAGACAGGGTTGAAAAAGATTGTTGTAGTCAAATTAGTAACAATATAGTAATAATTTTTATTGAAACTTTTTAAAAAACATAAAAACTAACACAAACTACTATAAAGTAAGGAAGAAAAAAGAAAAAGAAAGCAAAGAAAAAGTAAAAAGTTCAAGAAAAGAAGTTAAATAGAAAAAAAAGAAAAAAGATACAAAGAAGTGGCTTCCAATATTCTTCAGAGCAGTTATAAGTACAATTATATTTTAACTTCTCTAAAGTTACATCATATTAATCTTCTTTCTATAATCTATCCTGTCTAATCATCAAAGCCATAAATCACAAGTTTTTTTTCATTTTTCCACAAAAAGTCCATAAGAGGTTTCCAGTCACCAACAAATGTAGATAATGACTTTTCTCTAATCAAAGAATTTTGGAAATGTGAACAACATGAAGGGACATTTTATCATGCTTGGTGGACATGCAAAAAAGCTAAACAATTTTGGATTCAAATACATACTTTTGATACAGAGGATTTTAAAGATTAATATTCAGTTGAAGCCAGAACTTTCCTTTTAGGACTAATAGATAAACAGTTAGAAAAAAGCCATGGAAGATTATTTCAATATATGATTATTGTGGTGAGAATATTATATGCACAGAGATGGAAAAATTCGACACTATCCACTATAGAGGAATGACTGGTGAAATTGACAGATCTTGCTGAAATGGATAAACTAACTTCTTTGATCAAATTAGTAACCATTTGAGACATATAGATATACCACTTTATTATCCAAAAGAAAGGAAGGCTTTGAAAAGCCCATTATGAAATTAAAAGTGAAAGTGAAACATCTGATTTAATAATAAATATTAAGATGACAAAGTAGTATCAACTTGCACGCTTAGTGAAATTGTAGTTGATTTAAGTTGCTCAAGAAGTGAAGGTGGCAGATAGTTTTCTTAGATTCAGGAATAGATAAAAATGGACAGGATGCTGGAAAAGTAAAGATTTCAGAATAATGAAAGAGCAGAAGAGTTACAGGAATAGTTTTTCCCATAGTAATGTATGGTTGTGAAAGCAGGACAATGAGATACGGAGAAAAAAAGGACAGACATCTTTGAATTGTGGATCTGGAAATGTTAATGAGAGTTTCATGGACTTCAGTCATTCCTAATATAGACTGACAATTGCTTTGAAGTACGTTCAGCCAGCAAAAACTCACAAATTTAAGGCATGTGATATGAGCGGATATAGACTAGAAAAAGTGATTACGCTTGGCAAGAAAGAATAATCAAAGACATTGTTCAGATGTCCTTGGAAAAACTAGGAGTTACTGCTAAAGACATATCAAGTGGTGTTTGTCTGTGCAGTCACTGAAAATGAAAGCCAACTTGATGGCATCTAACAAACGAAAGCTGAGTGTTGCTGACCATATATGTTGGACTCTGGATTTTCATAAAAGAGGTTTCCTTGACAGAAGGCGGTAACAGGAAAAGTTGCTCAAGATGGGTGGGAGTTTCTACAGAAGGACATGCTAAAAGTACAACTGCACACAATTCCAATTAGGGGAAAAATGGAGTCTAATGTCAGAAAAAGACAATGTGGCTACCCAAACAACTTGGTGAAAATCTAAACCCCAAAAAGGAGACGTATAGGAAATGGGATGAGGATTGAGTCATCAACGAAGAGTACATACTGAACAAGAATACAGCTTAGAACTGTATGAATGTCAGGAATGCTAAAGCTCAGAATGAGCAGAGGATGGCAAAAATTACTAAGAAAATCAAAGATGACTTACATAAAAGGAAAACCAAAGAAATGGTCTATCAGCCACTCAGTGAACAGTTAAGGGCTACGACATAATACAATAAAGAAAGGTCACTCCAACTCCTATTTTGGTTCTGTATTTTCTAACAAGAAAGTATTCTGCAGTATTTTAACTGTAAAGAGCAGGATTGAAGACTGACAGAAACATGGTCAGGAAATACCTTGTTACTTTGAATAAATTTAAATTTCTAGTACCAGCTGGATTACATCCTACGGTCCTGGAGTAATTAACTGATTGGCTGAAGCTTTATGTATTATATTTAAGAAATTCCAGAGAATTAGGGCCAGATGATTGGTGGGGCAGCCAGTTTGGCATCAATACCTGGAAAGATTTCAGAGCAAATTATACAAAGATTCACCTCAAAAACAATACCACAGTAACTCGAAGTCCTCATGGATTTGTCAAGAACAAGTCTTATAGAGTAACTGTATAAAGGGTCTCTGCTGTCCTATACAATCAGGATAATCTGGGGTGATGCAGCAGTTATTACATCATTCATTATTGCCCCTTTCTTTTCCTCTCTTCAACCAGGGTTAGGAGCAAGGCTTTTGGAAAATGGCTTCTTGTTTCTTTTAATCCAAAAATACCATTTAAGCTCAGGATCTGGGTAGCTAAACTGTCTAAGTTTTTAATATGCTGTCTAGCATAACAGACTTCATTTATTTGGGCTCCAAGATCACCGCAGACGGAGACTGCAGCCATGAAATTAAAAGATGCCTGCTCCTTGGGAGGAGAGCTATGGCAAACCTAGACAGCATATTAAAAAGCAGA